AACAAGTGCTTTCAAAGGTTTCAAGTATTGTGCCCACTGGCCAGTGGTGTTTGCGTCATTTAGTGCACTGCACTAAGATTACACCAAACCAGAGCTTTCTTTCTATCTAAACTATTTATAAACTCCACACCAAGTGCTGCATCTTTCCTGTTATCTAAATAAAGAACAATACTACTGAAAGTGAATTGTCAGCCTTCTTTTAAAAAGAATTCACATTGAGCTCTGAGACGTGTCCTCTTTATGTATAAGTAGGATCAGTTTTATGGTGTGGTCATTCTTCAAAGCTACTTTGCATATACTTTCTGAAACTGGAGAGATGATGATTCTTACACTTGGCGTTTTTATGATGGTGTTGGAGAGCACTGAATAACATGTTGGGATGAGATCTACTGAAAGTCAAGGCCATAGCATGTGATCCACGTAATTTTCACACAAACCATTTCATGACCCCTTGTGCCCTCTATGGAAGCATTTATGGTGCATTCATGTGGTGTTGGAATAATCGGAAAAATGATTTTCCAACTGGGAAAATTCACGTGAATGCCCACAGAAGTCGGAACAACAACTCGGAAAGTCTGAGAAATATTTGCTACACGAGTTGCCAAGTTGTTGACGCCATACACGTAGAAACATGGTGGACAACATGGCTGATGTTTAGAAATGTTTAAATAATGCTGCAAAATCACATATTGCATAACTGCTAAGGTGTCATTTGCAATATGGTATTAAGTTATAAAGCTTATTTTGCTGTCCATGTCGTGTGAAGAAGATTAATTACTTATTAAGTTATTTATTAGCAGTATTTGCAGTATGCTACAAGCAATATTTTAGTGGTTTCAGGTAATGTACTGGTGCAGTACCAACTCTGGGATAGAAAAAGCTCTGGGATAGAAAAAGCTCTGGGATAGAAAAAAGCTTCAAACTGTTCCATCATAGTTGGATGACAATGATAATGCTAATCCAACACTATATTATACTATATATTTATAGTAGCATCCATGTTATTTCCACATTCTGACTTAAAGCACATGAAAGCACCAAAGTCGGAAGAACGACTTCCCAACTCGGGAACTGGGACCATCTGAGGAGCACATAAAAGCAGCATTACATTGGCTATATTTCTCCACTCATTTAGTCAAGTTTTTTTCCCTTAAAGGTCTAGTTAAGATAAGAAGATTGATGCTTCTCTCATGTATGTACAATCAACCACGGCAGCAGCAGGTTGGGTTTCCACAGGGAATTTCATAGTCTGATACTGTGAGCAGAAACCCTCAACATTCCTCAAACACCACCTATCTACTCTACATTAATGGTTTTTAACTTTCTACTATTAATCTTTGTCTTACTTTGATTTGGGAGATGTTCATACTCTAACTATTTCCATAATGCTTTGAAGTATGTAAATAGGAAGTACAGGACTGTATAAAAGAAGTGGACTTAGCCAAGATGACATCACCCATTGGTCTGTGGACTACCGTTTTGAATCTTGAGTTTGGCATATTGGCTGTTTGCCATCTTGGTTTTTTGGAACCAGAAGTGACCATATTCGGACGAGAAGGTGGAGCTAGCTAGCTTAGTTAGTAAGGTGCATCTGTCATTCACTTTAACTGTGATATTAATTGGGATGCTAATTTGGACTAGCAAAAAAAACAGGCTTAAAACCAAATGTACTTACCTAAAAAAATTAACAGGTGACTCCAGAGTGTCTTTAGTACATCCGAACCATTCAAATCATTTTACCATATATGTGACTATTAATTTACAAAATGAACATTAATGGGACGATAAGGGTATATCAATTGACTTTCAACTCTCATGCGCCACCCTGGGGAGGCACACCTCACAAAATAAAAACCTCTGGTTTAGCACATAGACTGGAAATGGGGAAAAGGCTAGCCTGGCTTTGTCCAAAGGTAAAAAAAAAAAATCCACCTATGCAAAGATTTCTTGGAGTCTCTGGTCGACAGACAACCTCACATTAACAACAAATAACTGCACCCAGCCATTAAATTGTCAAATAACCCCCATAAAAACCACAACGTTGTTTTTACACTTTTACACTTTTTTGTACAGATTAAAAAAACATTATGTAACATGTTCATTTGTGAGCTTTAGAGGTGTCCATTGTATTACCTTCAGAGAGAGTCAAACTAGACGTTTCCCAAAATGTCTCCTGCCACAAACCAGTAAGATCTTCTTTGGTTTGTTTGTTATTAAAAGACAAATAGTACAATTTACAGCAAGGAAAAGACTGTTTATGTTCCCCAAATGTACAGAGTAAAGAGACAAAAAAAGTCTACACAGACATATTTGCTCCCATTTTCCTCTTGTTTGAATGGAAGTCAATTGAACTTAAAAGTGTAATAAAGCTCAATCAACTTATGACCAAACATCAAACGAAGCCAACAATCTTAGTGAAGTAGGAGTTGGTTGCTTTTTTAGTCAATAAACTTGGGTGAAACCCTGAGGAGCAATTAATCTTTTAAATCTAATTGTTCATTATTCATACTGTTTTATTTTCAGATTCATGGGCTGGATTTCAATCAGCTTACTGAATTGTAATGACTAAGATACTAGCCCTGAATCAATGAATAAAAGCATTCTGAAATAGGATCATTCTGACATACGATCATGACCGATGCCCACTTAGCAAGTGAACCCGAAAACTAGCCACCCCCTCTGCCAGGCTAACCTCTGGACTAAAATAAGTCCCACATGTGCACATTTGGCAGGAGCACGACCCTATTAACCTTAAACAAGGCTGATGCTGGGCCTTGCTAATGACTCCCCCCACCCTACCTCGTCTGGTCCATGACGGCTGACTGACAGTCATGGTCTGCACACACAAACAAACACACCACATTATTGGGTATGGACACACAAACACACACAGGACCTGTGGAGGCAGGCTGTGTGTCAATAAGGAGGTCAAACAACAGATGGCAGCCAGAGGATTAGAACAATTCCGTAAACTTCTAGTTAAACACAACAGGGACACATACATATACTGTTGTATTACAGTGTTACTGAAGTCATCATTACTTTTCTGAATTATACTTTCTAATAGTGTTTACTTTCATGTAACACCCACGCATGATGTCATATTTTAACTCACTAAAAAACTTAAAGCAGTCTTACCTGCAGTACCTGCATTAGCTATGCTTACACATGATATTAGTTCCCTTCAATTCTCTACCTCTGTGGTTCACAAACTGGGAGTTGAAACTCCAAAAGGTTCAAAACATAAATCTGACGGGTCACAAGATGAGAATATTCATTCTAATATATATCTTATAGAAGTAGTAGCCATAGTTTAAGCCCCTAAAAACTGTCTACAATAAAAACTGTGACAATGGGTTGGGAGTAGGCACTGCTTTGCTTTAAAGGGTCATAAGCCAAAAGGGTTGGGAAGTGCCCTTCATGATCTCCAGCAATTAAATAAAACATAAAACATTAAATATGATAAAACTGCAAATACTTCACACACAAAGAAAATGGAGAAGTGCAAAATGAAAGTTACATTAGTTTTAAGTTTTAGATTCATACCCTGTGATTACAAATTATAGAAATTATACAAGAGACTTTCTAGCCACTTGTTTAATGCGCATTTTGAATTTGGACCTTAAAAACATAGCTGTCATGACAAGGTTTGACGAAAGATACGTCTAGAGCCTACAGGTATGCTAGCAGCTCTGTGAGGCTGTTAATTATTCACATGCAGGTTCTGCCTCTCCTTACTCTTCTTATTGTACATACTACATTGCATGCTTACACTAGAAAGCTTCACTTATAAAAAAATAAGTAAACAAAACAACAGTGTTGAAATGCTATTGCTGTTACAACAAAAACACCATCTCACCAGTTATGACACTTCCAAGCAACAGCAGAGTCAGAATCGCCTTACAACACAAGTGATGCTCAACACGAGCGTGTGTAGGCATTGATGTTTCTTCTCCGTTGTGCAACCATGACTGTAAACTTCTTAGGCCAAGCACGCTCACGCTCCGGTAGCTCTGCCAAATCAACCGAGTGCTCTGTGGATGCTTCGCAGCTGTCAGGCAGTTATCATCACAGTCGCTTCCACAGAGACTCAGGGAGCTCGATGTCGACCAAGATTATGATTCTGTCCCTTCTGGGATGCATTTCCAGTACAGTACAGACAGACTTCTTAGGATTAGATGGCTATGTGAGCAGCCATATGCATCAATAAGACTCCCAGGAAGTTGGCAGAACACTGAGACACACAGTTTATTTTTTATCATTCTCTCCCCATTATAACCTGCTGGAGCACACAGGTGTCGACTTACCAAAATCCAATTGCATCAGGCAGACAGGCAGTGAGGCAAGAGCAAATGACTTGTGTGTGTGTGTGTGTCTCAGCGACAGTCCAGTGTGGGTCTTTTGTGTTTGGGAAGCAGACCTGTCAACTCCCCCTTCTGTTGCCCCACATCATTAATCAGACCAGGCAGAATATTATCTCTGAGCTAATAGCATGCACCACTAGCTCCGAAGCTAACCCAATGAGGACAATGACAATGTCCTACTCAGTAAACACATGGAGGAACTCAAATAACACTTAATAACATTTTTCTTATTTTCAACAAATCCCAGACCAAAACCAACAATGAGTTAGTGTGTTTCTAACTACTTTCCTTCTTCACTACCATGTCTGTGGCATTTAGCCCAAAGCCCGTTCATTCATAATGGACACCAATGTTTAAAAATGGCTCACAAATCTATAGTTTCACTTTCAAAAAAGGCTATGTCATTTCCTACAAAAGCTAGGCACTGTAGTTTTTAGTAAATGTCACTCAAACAGGAGTAAATAGTAGATTTGCTGGGAACTACTTTCTGCTGCAGGCTAACAGGCATTTAGTGCGATGGTGAATATTTACAGCAAGACAATCTACCAGCACCTTTAAAGCTCACTAATTAATACATTATATCTTGTTTGTTAAACCTATTCAAAAACTGAAGTGTGAAAACAACAAGTTGTTGATTTATTGGGGGGTTATGGGGCAGAACATTTCTTGGTCCGTCACCGTGAAGGAACCAGCAACATTTGGACAGAGCCTGTCGTGAGGGCCCGGCTGTGAGCCTGGTGCGAGTGTTGTGGATGTTTGTCTGGAGTGCGTGTGGTGAGCATGTTTTGTTTGTCTCTGCTTGGCTCTCTCTCTCTCTCTCTCTCTCACTCTCTCTCTCTCTCCAGTCTGGGAGCTGGGGGCGTGTCTGCTGCGGGCTCTGCACTCACCTGAGACTCATCCTCAATCAGCGCACCTGACCAGCCACGGTTCAAATAAGAGGCTCAGACATCCAGTCCCCCGCTGGATCGTTGAATCTCCACGCGTATGTCGCATCAGCCTCAGCCAACCTTAGAATCGGTCTTGCATCATGAGAATTGTTTGCATCAGTCTAACTTTTGTTTCTCTCTGTCTCTTTGAAGACCTCCACCACCTCAGCAAACCGCCAGCCTGTAAGCTCTCGGTTCCGCCCGCAGCCTGGACACTTCCCCGCTCTCGGATTTCCCACCTACCCTGGATCTGGGAGAGAGCCTCAGCCTCAAACCTCTGACTTCCCCTGCTCATTCTCTTCTGAATAAACTGTCTAACTCAGATCTGCGTTTGGGTCTTCTCTGCCTGAAAACCTGACAGAGCCAGGCTTGCTGTTTCCACCTTTGTGCCAGGCTAAGGCAACCGGCTTCTGGTTGTAGTTCATATTTATTCATCAAACATCCTGTGTTTAATTATTACCTTAATCACTACATTTGTACAGAATGAGAGATGAATAACTTGCCAGTTACAGCAATCATAATTAGTATCAAATCTCTCATATTAATCAACATCAGCAGTGAGCTGGCTTCTTCTGGCCCCAACACCAGTCACACTAACTACATTAACAAACACTAAACCACATACTAATCAAGGCTGGCACGCACACACACATAAGCAAAAGAAACAAGTCCAAATAAACAACAGATATAGACACACACATGCTCCCATCAACCATTCTCCTTGTGCTCAAGATTCATTATTCAAGCACAGCTTGTCTGAGTTAAAGCATCTGCAATTCAAACAGGCCAGAGGTGGAGCTGGGACTCAGGGAGCAAACCCCTAACGTACCTTCAACAGACCTTTCTCACACACACATCCCAACACCGAGACGTGACCAGCTCACCTAGTGTGAAAGAGAGTGAGGTCAAAAATAGTGAAGTAGTTGAATTAAAATTTCATCAACTTGACATCTGTGTGTCTCTTCTGAATAGTCAACACACATACACAAAGAGCAGGAGAAAAGCCTCGAGCAGTGACTGATGGAGATGATTTTTCCCCCCAGACTTGATAATAAAAGGTCACAATGTAAAGAACAGCAAGGTCAATGTGTCATGTCAGGATAAACAAAAGGCCATTTAAACAACACACACACCCACAGACGCTTGGCTTGTAGTCAGTTTGGAACATGAGATGGGATATTCAGGCTGAACAACATCTGACCATGAGACATAATCTGAGGCATGCTTTCTGGCTCAGGTGCCAAGCTATTAAATATTACAGGTTTAAACTGCGCTGAGGCCATTCTTCGTATGCCGCCAGGCACTGGCAGGCACGTGTGACAGCGTACACAAACACACACGCGAGCATGGTCTTGCGTGGTCTACACCTGCCTCAGGACATCCCTTAGTTAAACAAAGAGCCTCCCGCATTTAGCACCTGCTGTCACATGCTGGCCCATACTTGTCACCTCCCACATGTCTTTCACACACACACTCTGTATCCCACCTGTGTAAGGACCCCATATCAATTTAGAAAGCAGAAGCAGCAGAGGGAGGCAAAACATGCACACACACACACACACACACACACACACACACACATTATGTCAACAATCCCTATCTGAGCCCATTGTCATTACAACATATTTACTCTCATGTGTCAATCAGTGACAAGATGCTCCACCTGACTGACTGGAAGGTTCAGGAAATAACTGGGCAATCATTGCACGCGCACATGACACATGTGGTCCAACACTGGCTTATAAAAGGCTACGAAGATGAAAACGGCCTTAAAGCACATTAGAAGATAAATAAACAAACTAAGCCAAGAGTCTCATAAGCCAGCCAGATGAGAGTTAAAATGCAGCATAAAAAAAATATACGGGCCTGAGCTCAGGCGGTGTGAGCTCAACGTTTCCACATGACAGGAGACAGGACTTTCCATACACCGCGGGTTCTGTCTTCCTCCTGTTTCATCACCAGAGCTGCAGGCAAACAATTTACATTTCACTCTGAATGTGCTCGCACGGCGTTCATTATTTGTCAATTCGTTTCTGCTCGGCGAGGACATTAAAGCAGCTTTAATGAGGAGGAAGAGGTTTGGTTTAAACCGATAAATAAATAAACACATAGATAAATAAAGGGGAAGACAGAAACTGTCTCGTCAGAATCAAATGAGGAACAAATTACACCCCAAGACCACTTATAAATATTGGAGTCTTTGATCTCCACACCAAATGAGCGATTCGGTCTGCAGAGGGAAATGATGAACGTGTGTGTGTGTGTGTGTGTGTGTGTGTGCGTGTGTGTGTGCGTGTGTGTAATGTGGACTGTGTACAGCCCAGGGCACATTATATTAGAGAGGGGGTTAAACTGAGGCAAAGCTAAGCTCACTGTTAAAAAATGCAGAGATACACAGCGCACATCACAGGCCCTCCTGACTAAGCAAGTCCAGTCATCTTTACTGGCCTACGCCGCTGACTCTCTGTTAGTGCAAATGTGTACTCATGATACCACTAGCAGGAAGAAAGGTGTAAGAGGCTCCTAACGCACAAATTTGTTGCCGGGCCCGTGTTGACCCTCTACATACCACTGGACATCTGTGCATTGTGTATGTACACTGTTGCTTCCAAGTTTCTATCAGGTCCAGGGAACACAGCAGACTATACATGTAAACAACCATGCTGGAATCCTACCAGGTTTTCTATGTATCAATTAGTTTGAGGCAATTTGATTAAACCCAATTTTATATATGTACCATGTGAGCACAATATAAACCACAATGAATACCGTCTCAAAGCTCCATACATTTTGACAGAGATGGGAACAAGAGTAGATAATAATGCAGGACTCATTTAAAGTAATATTGTGTTGTAAATTCCTGTATACATTTGTAATTAATAAATTAAGTGACACAAGGTGAACCTGGGTCTTTCAGGGCCCCTAGAGATGACGCTCCAAGACAGTTACCAACTTTGCCCAGTTAAAAATCCAGCATTGTGTAACATAATCCAGTTTCTATAATTAAGTTTTCCATTTTGTGAATCCAAATCTGTGAATCCATGTGTCACAAATGAGAACCCACTGACAAAAGCTACCTACTTTTACTTAGCATTGTACTAAAGTGCTAAATGTAGCATGGAACTCCAACTAACTGATTTAACGATGATTTTGGTGTCTTATCAACTTTTTTTTGTATAAATGGATCATTAAAAAAAGCTTCAATCTTCCAAAACATGTTGCATAATCCAATCTTGACATAATCAAACACTGAATTTGCTGTAACACATGCTTAAACATGAGTTGTAGCCACAGTTTATACCTGCAGGCGTAAAGATCTTTGTTGGAAATATGACTGCTGGTGTATCTTTTCTGAGATTTGTGGGAACTATCGGGAGGCATTGCGTCTGCCTGTCTGTGCTCTGGTTGGTCTGAGATGAGCCCTGTGGTGTGGGAAAACCCCATGGCAGAGGATTAGACTGGAGGAGATGGGATTTGCTGGTTAAAAGCTGACCTATGACATGCACACAGCGGCCTTTTGATTCAACAGATCAGCTCATTCTTATGTCGGGCCTCTGGACTATATGTTGTCACTTGTCACATTCACGGTCATGGCAAGACAGAATAACATGAGCTTATAAGCCAGTCTGTTACATGACAGAAGAGCAATTGGACAGTTGATCCGAAAGCCTGATACGCTGCCAAGAGCACAGAAAGTGTGATCGCACATTACAGCCGTTACATCAGCCCCTGAGACTAATGTCACACTGTTTTTGTGAATCATTCTCTGAAAATCTGGACTATGTCGAAGGTGAGACTATGGGCTCTTTGATTACATTTCCAGGTGCACCTTTATTTTTATTTCATTTTTTAACCAGACCATCCATGTTTCCAGCGTTGGGTATCATAATCATACTCAAAGCTAATTTGAGCTCTTTCAACATCAAATTTAAGAATTGTTACAGTCTGTCTGCTCGCCAACACTACAAGAGTATCAGGTTGAGAAATAAACCGCAGAGGGGGTTTACAATGAAAGGCTACCTTGCTGGCGAGTTACTCTGCTCTCTGGTTTCACAAGATTTTCAAACTTTACAAATGGAAGGCATGCCTCCACAGCTCAAGCACTCTTGGGGCCGCGCTACTGACTGAAGAATGAATCAGGGACATTTCTTTATATATATGCAAGTATTGCATGCCACAAATGTCTGGTTTGATTCTTTTGATGCATGTGTCTGTTTTATGTTTCACAGGAGGGGGGGAGGGAGTCAATCAAATGTCCCTGGAAAAAATGCTATTTTGGCATGACAATTTGGTAACGAGCAAAGTATTAGACTCTCCTGCTGAATATTTTTAAATAACTTCGAATCAGGGTTATGGAGTGGGCTTCAATAGGCTAATGTGATTTATTTGGGCTGAAGCAACTGAATGCTGATCTTTTGATACTCAACATAACTACATTTGACACTTTTCAACAGAAAAAAAACAGCATGCAGTGTTTCTCACAGAACTGTATTCATAGTGGGGGTCAAAAGGCTTTTGAAGCTACTTTCAGATCATCAAATACTGAAACATTTATTTCAACCACATCACTCAAAAACAAGTTTAATCTCTTTGGGTATCATCTCTGCCTATGCAGCCCTTAGCTACCCTGTATTACTGACCACTTTGTGCATTCTCGCTCGCTCTCCCATGCGTGCTCACTTTGTCTATCCTTACTTGTTCTGCTCCTATTGTCGTAATGATAATGCAGCAGTTGTCTGGCCTGTTGTCAAGGCAGCAGCAAACTTACAGCACACTCATCGCCTTGGCAACCGGTCAACCTGCACAAATAAACTTGGCCAGACGAGTGATAAAGGATGATCGAGGAGATAGAGGGAGAGAGAATATGAGTGCGATGTTCAAATATGCGGAGCTCTTAGTCGTTAAGCTGAAGCAACAAAGACACTATTTTGTGCAATAAGGGTGATGATGGCTTCAACCTGATTGCTGAGGTAACATTGTCAGGCGTCTGCATTACTGGCTCCCACTTCCATCCATCTTAATCCAAGTGACTCAATGTCTGTGCCCACGCTGTCTCTTTGCAAAACACCGGCTTTAAAAGTACATGTCGAGGTTCTTCACATCCTCTTGTCTGAACTGGCTACAGCAAGCAGAGTGAAAATGTGCAGTGTGTGTTTGAAGTCAACCTTTTTCACATTATGTCACCTACCTCTCTGTCCATCTCTCTTCAGTCTGAACTGTGTAAGTAAAGAAAGAGCAGCTTAAAAACTTTAGAAATGGAAAATGCAGAAACTAGAGCACTTATACATTGACCAAGCTGACAAACTGGCGGATATTAGCTTGGA